TAGAAAAAATTAGCCGGGCATGGTGGCACATGCCTGTAGTCCCAGCTACTTGGGAGGCTGAGGCAGGAGGATTGCTTGAGCCCAGGAATTTGAGGTTGTTGTGAGCTAGGCTGACACCACGACACTCTAGCCAGGGCAACAGAGCCAGACTCTGTCTTGAAAAAAAAAAAAATTAAAAAAAAAAAGGCAATGGCAAAAAAATACCATTTAGTTTTATTAATCAAAAAAAAGGTAACTAACCTACAGCCCAAATAAAGCATTGCTAAATCCAATATAGGAACCTTGGTCACAAGCACTTAAGCATTATTTATTGTCTAATGATCTTAGAGTATGCTTTCTTTAATTTTAAAGATTGATGCTAATTATATAGTGAACATTGATTTGAATACATATCCACCCTTTCAGATAGGAGTTATTTTCATTTTCCTCTGATATCTGTGATGTTTTTATTTCTATTACATCAAATAGTATTCAAGATTTCTAGGTTCTCTATCACATCAAATAATATTCAAGACTTCTATTTCATTTTACTATAAAGATATATCCGCATTTTAACTAATTGGCCAGTTTTTCTCTGCTTAAGGAACAAGTGATGAAATAATTCATCTTTAAAATTTAGAATGTTTTTCTTACTTTAATACAGAAGACAAATACTCTCAGCTGGGCATGGTGGCTCACGCCTGTAATCCTAGCACTCTGGGAGGCCAAGGTGGGAGGATTGCTCAAGGTCAGGAGTTCGAGACCAGCCTGAGCAAGAGCAAGATCCTGTCTCTACTAAAAATAGAAAGAAATTAACTGGACAACTAAAAATATATAGAAAAAAAAATTAGCCAGGCATGGTGGTGCATGCCTGTAGTCCCAGCTGCTCGGGAGAGTGAGGCAGGATTGCTTGAGCCCAGGAGTTTGAGGTTGCTGTGAGCTAGGCTGATGCCATGGCACTCTAGCCCAGGCAACAGAGTGAGACTCAGTCTCAAAAAAAAAGAAAAAAAGAAGAAAAATGCTCTGATTACATATGGTATGCTTACATGCATCATTGTTTTTTGATCCAAACACAAAAAGCATCTTTCTTTAGATTTTCTTACTGTATTTTACATTTGCCATAGAACTTTCATGGAAAAATTGATATTAATCATATTCACCTAATATTGAATGCCCTCCCATAGTGCTGATGCAGAAACAACTTATCACATATTTTCATATAAACATTACAGATGAAGGCATAGCATCAAATAATTTGAGAATTGAATTACATTAACATTTTCTTCTGAAAAATTTCAAATACTATCAATGCAAAGTACCCATGGAATATAAGTATGCCTGTCCAAATATCAATGTTCTTGCTCTTCTGAAAAATAAGATCAGATAAATTATCTAATTGTTTTGACTTCGTTATTCTCTACAATTAATACTCTGGGTTAGTGTAAAATCTGAAAGTGTGTTTTAGTTTTTACTTGTGTGAATGCCCTGATGCACTTAGACTTAACTTTTGATTAAATACTTCTGCACATTTATTGCACCTGTAAAGTTTCTTTCCCTGTGAACTCTCTGGTGATTTCTAAGTTGTATATTTAGGACAAAATTCTTTTCACATATATTACATTTATAGAGGTTCTGTAGTATGAATTTTCTCATGTTGAGTAAGGTGTGAACTACAGTAAAAGATTTTGTCACATTCTTCACCTTTATAGGATTTCTATCTAGTATGAATTCCCTGATATTGTCTAAGGCTTGAAGACTGGGTAAAGGGTATGCCACATTCTTCACATTTGTACGGTTTCTCCTCAGCATGAATTTTCTGATGTTGCCTAAGATTTGAAAACTGAGTAAAGGCTTTGCCAAATTCTTTACATTTGTAGGGTTTCTATTGAGTATGAACTACCTGATGTTTTCTAAGCGTTGAAGAGTCGGTAAAGGCTAAGCCACATTCTTCACATTTGTAGGGTTTCTCTCCAGTATGAATTCTCTGGTGTTTAGTAAGGCCTGAATGACAGTTAAAGGATTTGCCACATTCTTCACATTTGTAGGGTTTTTCTCCAGTATGAATACTTTGATGTAGAGTAAGGCTTGAACTACACTGAAAGTCTTTGCCACATTTTTCCCGTTTGTAGGATTTTTCTAGTGTGAATTTTCTGATGTTTCCTAAAGTTTGAAGTACAGTTAAAGGCTTTCCCACATTCCTCACATTTGTAGGGTTTCTCTCTAGTATGAATTATCTTATGTCGAGTAAGGTGTGAACTAGAGCGAAAGGCTCTTCCACATTCTTTACATTTGTAGGGTTTCTCTCCAGTATGAATTCTCTGATGTTTTCTAAGACTTCCTGACTGGCTAAAGGATATGCCACATGCACCACATTTGTAGGATTTCTCTGCAGTATGAATTTTCTGATGTTGGGTAAGGCTTGAACGACAGCTAAGGGCTTTGCCACATTCATCACATTTGTAGGATTTTTTTGCAGTATGAATACTTTGACATAGAGTAAGGCTTGAACTATGCTGAACATCTTTACCACATTCTTCATGTTTATAGGGTTTATCTCCAGTATGAATTCTTTGATGTCGACTAAGATTTGAATTACAGTTAAAGGCTTTGCCACATTCTGTACATTTGTAGGGTTTATC